TAGCAACAATTACTTGAAAATGGTGATGAATATGCTTTCAGGTCAGTGATTATGTCAATGATAGAATCTTGGCTCTCAGACAAAGTCATCCTGGAGAGTATCAAAACATCAGTATTATCAGGACAAATGCAATGAAATATCTACCAAATTTCTTTAAAAAAGGACAGGTAATTTTGCATATACTTGTACAATATTTTCCTTTCACTTTACTTTTCTTTAATTTCTTTCTTTGGTCATATCTTTCATCCGTTTTAAAATCAATGCAATCATTCATTCTTTTGTTGATCAATCCATTCTATAATGTTGGCATTTCTTTAATGATCTTGTAATTAACTCATTTATACATCCAAATAAATCCATTCAAAGACATCAATCATTTKATTTACCAAATTTCTTTCAGTTAACAAAGATGTTTTTTCTATTTCCTGATCCTCATTTTAAACAAAAGAAGCACAAATGGAGAATTATAAGGTAAACACAATCATAGATAAATGAAATACTTTAAACATATCAATAGGTATAGCTGTTTTTAAAATCATTAAATTAAAATGATTAAAATCATGTGAAAACTCATTGTTTTCTTGCAGTCAAGGCCTTCTAGCGGAATATGCATATGTTTTACGAGTTGGGGTGAGTATTATTAGCTATTGTTTATTAATGATGATAATTGTTAAGGTTATGTATTTGTTTGTTGATAGGGATTAGCTTACTTTATCACTGATGTGCAAGAATTGTATGACTGGATGAAAATGCATTTTACTCAACATCCTCTCTTTGAAGAAGTCAGTAAAGAGGAACTGGTAATTATTATTAATTATTATTCATTGATYTAGAGCTGTACTAGGTAGTCTCCTTGGCAGCCTTCCTGTGACAGAAGCCCGAGAAAAGGGGAGGCTGTSAAGGAGGCTATGTACTAGGAAGGTACACATGAAATTTAATATACAATCATAAATACTGGTAGTCATTCATTGAATTTATAAGTAGGTGGCTGTTCTGAATAGGCCATTTGCATTATGATGTATGTAACTTTACTACAAGTATCAGAGAGCCTTGCGCATTTTCATTGTTATTCAGATTTTTAATCCCCTTGGTGATTGATAAAACAATTGGCACTAATTGCATTACAAAACAAAATTGGCAAGTCTACTGGTAGTTGTAGTAAATGACGCCATAATGCAAATCGGCTATTTAGGTACATGTACCTTTTTTAAACCATAAGTGACCACAAATGTTAGATTGTAATTTGGGAAAAGTAGCCAGCCAAATGGTAAAATTAGACACCGGATTTTGGCCTTTGTCCCATGCTTCTAATGTAATGCTTCTTTGTACCAGAAGCTACTCTTTAGTAGCAGTTATCGTTAAATGAAGTTAACACATTATTAAAAGAAGCATATAATATAAGACCATTCCTAGCTTATCCCTCTGGCAAAACTTGTTTTCCCTGTGATGATTACCATTAATTCATTGTTGTTGTTTTTTCAAAGGATAATGACATTGTTGTTGGAAAACTCTATGATAGTTCWGAGGAGGGTCAGAAGGTCACTCGCAATACAGGTATCAAACTATTAGGAGTCTATAGACGAATTGCTGACCCAGATAGTTAACAACAATCAGTTAAAATGACTTAAAAGACTATGTTATATTCAAAATATTTAAAGAAAGGTAGAAATTGCTTGTTATTTTTGTYAATTTGTTTGACCSTTTAGTTCAAATGTTTGCATTCAGRGMTTTCCTAGTTATCTACTTGTAACAACAAGATTATTTAGTTAATTTTAGACCAACTATATAATTTAATTGATTGGTTTACTGGTCAAACCATAGTGTACACAAAATGGTTGTATATGTCGCAGAGCAAAGACTGCATGAAACATTGTTAGAAGATATGAAAATGCCATCAAATACATACTTTTGGATATTTTTTTAATTACAAAGTGACTGTTTGTGGTTTAAGTCTTACTTTCTATACATAACCATCACCTTATTTTACAAAAAATATTTTTTCTATAGTAATAGTATTATTGATTCAGATATTGTCGTTTTGGCTTCATAATATGTTAGTTGGCTTTGACGTCTGTGTTGTGATGCCTACATTGTATATGTTGGGATCCCTGTGTAAATATACGGCTGTTGGGTTTCCTGTGTATCCATGACGTCTTTCGTGACGTTTCTGTTTAAATATGATGTCTTTAAAAGTTGTCTTTGTCGAGGTTCTTGTGTATTTGGAGCGTCTGGGATCCTTCTATCCTTATGAATTATGATGTCTTTATCGGGGTTCCTGTGTATTTATATCGTAGTAACATCGCGGGGTTCCTGTGTCATCATGAAGTCTTTGCTGGTTCTGTGTTCTTTGCGTTGTTTTGCTGGTGTTTGCTCATAAATGTAATAAATTCAGGATAAGTGATGAATCCGTCTTTGTTGAGATCTTGATCAGATAAAATCATATCAACAAATTCTACCAGAGATTCCTCGCTATTGTGAGAATCTTCCTTGTCTGACAGAAAAAAAGGATTGGTTTTCTTTTATTATGGATCTTGAATGTCAATAAACATGTTTTACTATTCATAATGGTTATAGCAGCCTGATTCTGATGATGATGATGATGATACTAAATGATGGTGATGATAAATGGGTTACTTTCTGATTCCGTAATGCACCTATCTTAAAAGCCTGTCGTGGTAGCGGCCGGTCTAACTACGGGAATTTGGCCGTCATGTTTGTGCCAGGGTGGGGATTTTGGTTGTCCATCATTGACTTAATTGCCGTTTGTTTTAGTTTTGTAGTAATGAGGGTTGTTTTTTTTTTTGATATGACAACAAGAACTGTGGTTTGTCTTACCGTGTTTCTCGTCCTCTTGATGTCTGTGATGTGACAATGATGATAGGATCTCCAGGCCATCTAGTTTGCTATCATTGTTGTTATCATGCATTAGGAAGTACTGCGCATTCTCGTCGTTATTCTGCCATAAGAAATTAAATCATCCCACACGTGAGAGCAATAAATAACCATTGTAACTATTACTATTACGTTACAATAACTATTACGAACAACGTGCATATGACATAAAAAATAAAGATCCATTTCGTATAAAAAGACGTTCCGTTTTTTGAGTTTTCTTACCTTTAAATATTCCCGCGCAGCTTTCTCGTCTAATCCAAAATGATCTTGTAAATGTTCGACTAAATGGCTAAACAAATAAACCAAAATAATACTCAAAACCTTAAAAAGTCCATAACAAATAGTACAACTACGCACACATGCCAAGGAACCCTAAMCCGTAGTATTCTCTATATAATTGGTCTTAACCATGATAATCTAACTATACTATTCCCGTATATATAAACTGCACACAAATCAAGACACTTCAAGAATGAAAGCCGAGATTAAATTTGATTGTTTTTTTACCGAGCGGCGTATTACATAGCTTTTTAATGGGTTTAGTTGGTTTATTAAATGTTGCCATATCATTGGCTTCCAACGCTTTAATGGTTTCTATCAAATATATCTGATTAGAAGTTTCTTCTGATGAACTATTAAATAAAAAAATAAGTTAAAAAATGAATATTTTGTCGTTATCTTTTTCAATAAACGGTTTTTAGTTTTTTAKAAAATGATCCGAGAAATACTAAAAAGACAACAAAAGGTTTCATAAAAGRGATCCAACCTGCTACGTGTCGAAACTATGACACTCCACTACACTCATCAACAAGAGATCAAAAACCAGTTCAAAATTTCAACAAACTGAATTCAAATCTCATATGTACTTACTTTGTATCTTTAACYTGTGAGCGAAGATTTTCCTCAGCAACTGTTGAGTTTGTTTCACATTTGATTTGRGATAAATGTATCGTGAATAATAAAAAACCTACCAGTGAATTCTTCACTGAAAATATCTCTAAAAATTTGTAAAACATTTTGAATTTCTCAGGTTAAAAATCTTGTGAAAAAAATTCTTGAATTTTAGTTGATTTTCGCGTTCATGTGTAGTCGTTTCTGGGGTAGTTTTCTATTTGATGTCTTGATATTTTTCTTTTGTTCGTGAATATTTATGTTACGGATTACATTTGACCAGCTGACAACCTGGTTACCATGTGTTGGACCACGTGACTATCGCTTGGRAACACAAAAAAGCAGAAAAGATATTTCAAACATGGATACCTTTATATTATGAACACTTCTATAGTGCGGGCACCTTATATTACGGGCACCTATATAACACACGACTCTATTACAAGCCCGTCTATTCTAAACTGATAGATACGTTTATCTGATTACGAACACTTCTATAGTGCGGGCACCTCTATATTACGAACACTTTCTTACGAACATTAGTGGTGACCAGGTTTCACACCTTACAAAAAGATTTCTCTGATATGGCAGTAATTTTATAGAAAAAGAATTTTTGTTCTTCAATGTTTTTCGAGGGCAAATCATGTTATAAGATCAAATAAAAGAAAATTAAAGGCCAAAATTAAAGTAACAGAAAACTAGTCTCGTTTACTGAAAATACGTTAGAAATACCCGTAAGTAAAACGTAAATATTGGTACATACGGCGTAAGTGCGTACGTTAACGTCGATCACATATTTCATGTAAACAAAGAACAAGACAAGTAAGACGTAAATCGCATTTATTGTACGTTATATTATTTGTTACATCCCTCAATGTAGAATTTAATTCTATTCGACGACTTTCTTTTCGATACTTGTTCCTTTGAATACGACTTCCACACGAGTAACGTTACTCAGATCCAGTCCTGGGTTTTCCGTAGGCAGTACGGTYACGGTCCAGACGGTGAACGGAGTTGTTGCGGTATAGGACTTCTCGTCTGTGTTGATGTTTGCGTGCGTTTCAATTTTACCTAAGAAAGAATAATAATAATTAGATTTACTTTACTATTGTCGTTGTTGTTGCTGTTGTCGTTGTTGCTGCTGTTGTTGTTGTTGTTGTTGCTGCTGCTGCTGCCTTTGTTGTTGTTATTGCTGCTGCTGTTGTTGTTGTTGATGTTGATGTTGTTGTCAATGTTGTTGTTGTTATTGTTGTCGTTGTTTTCGTCGTCGTTGTTGTTGTTGATATTGTTTTCTTACCAGTGTTCAGGTTGTACTTGAATCGTTTTGTTAGTGGTACCGACGAGAAGTAGTAGTCTTTGCCGTTGTATCGATCTCTCAGTTTCCCGACGTTTTCTATCCATACGCTGAGGTCCCCAGAAGTCGTCTTGGCTCCTTTGATGTAAACCTAAAGGACGTGGTGTTAGTTAAGATTCTAACCTGATTTTTTGAGGGTTTTGGTGATAGAGCAGCATCATGAAAGGGCTGTAAGTTTTCTTGTTTCGATGACAAAGTGTCTTTGATACTAACATATAAAAATATAACATGATTTRAGATAACGTACCTGAATTTCATCAACTCTTACTCTCTCTGAGCCTCTAAACCGAGCATCGTTTGTTGAAATGTCGAATATCATGAGACTGTCTTCCTTAAGGAATTTTATCGGACAGTCTCTATACATACTACAGTTAGAAGAGACTGAATTCTCTAGAACTTTCGTCTGAAAATAATATAAAACATTAATAATTGGTGWTATTTTAACAACGAAATGATTCAAAGAAATAAAATGAGAAATGAAATTTGAGGGATAGACTCAGTATCCTAAACCTCGACCACACAAACGGGAACCGGCTATTTGACCACAGGATTTCAAAATTTTTACTCTGTAAACATATCCTGAGGGAGGGGAGGGAGGGGAGGGAGGAGAGGGAGGGAGGAGAGGGAGTGTTACCTTGGTAAACCGGGACGGTGTGTAAGGTGCAAACTTTCCCTTGTTTACTGCTGCTCTRTTTCTTGCTTCTTGTATCTTGGTTAATAAGACCTTCAAGTCACTACCAAAACTAGGCTCAAATGTCGACCCACACTCTTCGAAATAAGRGTAGTAGTATGCTTTACAGAAGGACGATAAAGCTGTGTTGATGGACATCATCACYTTAAAACGCTGAAATCAAGTAACCAATCAATAAGAGCGTTATTTCTACATTATTAAATACAACCAATCAGGAAACGCGTTTTATCCATATTACCTAATTCAACCAATCTGAAAACGCGTTATATCAAAATATTTATATAACCAARCAGAGCGCTCGTATTTTCATATCATCAGCCAATTAGAGCGCTTGTTATATCGATGTTTACCTGTAGTTTGATAACTGCAAGATTGTCAAAGATTCTAGTCACTTCTGTCTTGGCTTTTTCCAAGTCGATCTTTTTACCARTCGTTAGGTCTTGAATCTCTTTTTTCGTTTCTGCGATTTCTTTCTCGATGCGTTTTAACTGTTCTTTGTAAAATGTTCTTTTGTTGACTTGCAATACAAAGCTTAAAAAAGTAACAAAGATATCGTTGTATCTTTTCAATTATATTTCAGACCTCATATTCCTTTTGGACTTTTTCAGGTTTTTGATTGGTCGCTTGGATTTCTTTATTGAACATGCTTCTCAGTCTAGACGTACAGTCAACTCTCGCCCTTACGGACACCCCGCTACAACGGACACCTCGATATTGCGGACGGTAAAATATTGAATCCCCGGTGAAAAATACAAAGAAATGACTGAAAGTAACTCTCCTTAATAAGGACTCTCGCTACTGCGAACACTAAATTGCGGTCCCGAGGGTGTCCGTTATATAGCGAGAGTTGACTGTAGTTTATAGGAAAGTCCAAGAACCACGTTTTCAATTACCTCTCAAACAAGTCCCTGGTTTCCAAGATGGCGGACGTGTAAGCCTTGCCCCATAGGGCTGTCTTGGAGAGCGCAATACGGTACTCTTCAGAACCAAACACGGTCGCTATAATRCCAACTCCCATGTATGCATCAGCCGTGATTGRTAGTTCGTCCCATTGAAGGACATCYACGGCTGTTGTCTTTTGGGCGGGGTCAGAACCTGCCCAGTCCTCTAGTGTAAGACCTCCTAGTTCCCAGGGTTTGTCCGAGGCGTCTATCGATAGTTGTACCAGAGGGTAGGTTTGTTCGAAYATCTCGGTGAGCTTGGTGGCCACATGAGTGATCTTAAGGAACAAATCATGATCAGTTATTTGAATGATATTGAAGGAATGAATGGATGAGTGAATAAAAAAACTGAAAAATGAATGAAAGAAAGAGATAAATTAGAAATAATATGGTGAGAAGAGACGTTAATCTTTCAGTGATAGACGTAATCGGGTACCATGCACGTTACCACCCAATTCAAATCCTGTGGGAAAAAGAACTTTTGTTTCTAAGAATTCAACTGTGGAGTGAAAATACAACGAACAATGAAACTTACTCCCGGGTGGTTTGAATTGGGTGGAAACGTTTATAGCAACGCATTAGCCGATTAGGTCTATCAACAGAGAGGAAACTGATCAGATGAATGAATTGTGAGAGCTGGAATGAGAAGAGAGAAATGAGTAGGTAAGGATAGTTTATTTTTTTTAGTTTATTTTGTTTACCTTMGTTAGTCGTTTTATAACCCTTGCAAGTCTTTTTAGTTTKACAGAACTTTCAGCCGCATCTTTAATGGTTTCAAGGTCAAACCCTCCAAAAAATACCGATCCGACAGCTCCCAGCACGTTCACAACTCCWACTGCAATCTCTTCTTTAAAATGCTGCTTAATGCCGCCTTCAAATTCCACTCTTCTGAAATTGAGATTTTTTATCTCTTGTTGGTATTTCGCGTAGAATCCGTTGACTGCTCTAGCTGATGTCTTCCACTGTTGACCTGATTCTTTTACAGCATTGTTTGAAAGTTCAATGAGGCCTGCAGTTTCTTTCTTAGATCGCTCCAGGGCTTGTAGCTCACCTAACAGTAGGTGACATTGACATTTACAATGAAATTCGCTTCTGTGATAATAATGATGATGGTGGTGGTGGTGGTGGTGGTGGTGGTGATGATGATGATGATGATGATAATGATGATAATGATGATGATGATGATGATGATGATGATGATGATGATGATAATGGTGATGATGATAATGGTGATGATGATAATGATGATAAAAATGATGATTATAATGATAGTTATGATGATGATAGTGATGATGATGATAGTGATGATGATGATGATGATGTTGATAGTGATAATGATGATGATGATGATGTTAGTGATGATGATGATGATGATGATGATAATAGTGATGATGATGATGATAGTGACGATGATGATGATAGTGATGATGATGATGATGATTGTTATAAGAAAGCTAACTTACCCTTTCTCATCTCTACGATGACGATAGTTTGTCCTTGGAGAATCTTTTTAATCTCTTCACGTTGGTTTAATTTTCCCACAACTATGTCTAACTCTTTGTCAAAGTTTTCAGCGTAGCCTTGGTATAGTCCGAGGATCTTATCGTGTGATTTTAATGACAAGAAGGGGACAGCAACCTGAAACAGCGTGAAACAACACTTTGAAACATTTGCTGTATCATTTTATCGCTATTACTTCATTGGAAACATAGACAACAAAATGATCTGGAGTTTAACTTTATGTACACTTTGTGAAGATGAGTTAAGGAGTATAAAATATGGGTCAGTCAACTCGTGGATTACCTCGTTGGGATCCCTGTTGCTAACAGTCTCTCTCAGCTGYAGTGCTTCATTGAAGATGTATMCCTGTTGTTTATGTGTTCTTGTCACGTTAACAATGTGGGATAACATGTCATATAATGTCTTATCTGGAATTACTTGGTTGTTCAACTGCGCGTGCTCCTTCACGCACGTGATCATAGCCTTGGCAAAGTTGGGGTCGATAGGAATCTTGGGACAGTAATTGTGACTAATGACTTTTGATGTTTGTAGAATGACGTCAGTCTTTGATGCGCCACACGGGTAGAAGTCTATTGTCTGAGTGTCTGGACCAACCTTCATTTAGAGTAATGGTTGTAGTAATCGCATAAGAAATCATATAACCTCATATAAATGACTTCTTCCGTAATACAGAAGTGTTCGTAATAGAGACGTGTTCGTAATGTAGAAGTGGCTGTAATGTAGAGGTCTTTAGTATAGAGGTGTTCGTAATATAGAGGGCATCGTAATATAGAGCTGTTCGTAATAGAGACGTGTTCGTAATGTAGAAGTGTCTGTAATGTAGAGGTCTTTAGTATAGAGGTGTTCGTAA